TCCCTTTCTGATTGGCTGCAGGCGAGCCAGTCCATGCTTAGGGCGGGGTCCCCAACCCAGAGGGGAAGAAGGCAAAGAGGGAGAGAATGCAAACAAAGTCGGGCATGCGCAGCACGGCACCAGTGGTTACCTCACACCTGCCCGCTTGTTGATGCGTTCGCCACCTCCTCATCTCCACCCTCTCTCCCACCAAAAGCCTGCCTGCTTGTTTCTGCTTGGAGGCATGTTCTCCCCCCCAAGTCCTCTATGTGGTGGAAGGCTCTCCCTCCTTAAATAATCTTGTATTTATTTACCATATACATAACATGTATCATTGCCCTCCCTCCGGTAGAATGTAAACTTCGTAAAGGCAGAGACTACGCTCCCCCCTCCCCTTTTTTTGTCTTTGTTTCTAGTGCAAGGGTCTGGCACATAGTCCACATTTGATAAATTTCCTGTTGGAAATATAATAATAATAGATAACATTTACATAGCGCTTCAAGATTTACAAAGCACCTTACACTTACCTTATTTTATCCTCACAACAACCCTGGAAGGTGGGTGCTATTGTTATGCAATATTAATATGCTATTATTATGATGCAATTATTATCCATAATAGCAAGCAAAAAAAAAAAAAGATTTGTGTGTGTTCTTTTTTTCGGGGGGGGGGCAATGGGGGTTAAGTGACTTGCCCAGGATCACACAGCTAGTGAGTGTTATGTGTCTGAGGTTGGATTTGAACTCAGGTCCTCCTGAATCCAGGGCTTGTGTTCTATCCACTGCGCCACCTAGCTGCACCCAATTTGTGTGTGTTTTAATGAAATTTTTAACACACTAAAAATCTTAAGATAAGGTTTGTTTTGTGATTCTTTGTTGTAATACATGATTTAAAGAAAATTACAAAATTTAAAACATGTAGCTAAAATTTTCCTTAGTATTAATAATAACTGGCATTTATAGAGCACGTTAAGGTTTGCAAAGCATTTTATATAAGTATTGTCTCATTAGATCCTTGCAACAACCCTGGGAGGTCAGTGCTATTATGAGTCCCATTTTACAGATGGAGGAGACTGAGGTAGAAAGAGGTTAAGTGATTTACCTGGATTGACATATCTATTAAGTGTAAGGCCAAATTTGATCTCCGGTCTTCCTGACTCCAGGTCCAGTGCTCTGTGCACTGTGGCGCCACCTACTTGCCTTTAGTTCATTTGTTGAAGGTAGTTTCTGTTCAGGAGCTGTGTGACCTTGAGCAAGTCCCTTCCCTTCTCTGGGCATCAGTTTCCTCCATGATACAGTTAAAAAAAAAAAAAAAAAGAGCATTGAATTTGGGGTAAGAATCCTGGGTTGGAATCACAACTCTCCACTTGTTATCTGTGTGACCTAGTAGTAACTCTACCTCCCTGGGTTTCATTCTCTTCTGTAAAAAGAGGCATATGGACTAAATCACCTCTTTGTTTTATTTTTCAAATTAAATAATATTTTATTCACACAAACATGAACAGTTTTTTAAAAGAAAAAAACAACAGCCTCACCTTGGAACTTTGCTCAGAACTGCTCCATCACCAACATCTGAAACTCTCAAAATTCTCTGTCTGGCAATAACTTTCTTGCCTTCTTTCTCTTACTTATGAATTAATGAAACTATTGTCTAGTCCCATCATAACATAGGGTCCCTTCTTCTTTGGCCAGTTCATTTATTAAGTGCCTCCTATGTACAGGGTACTATGCAAGGCACTGTGCTAAGCACTGAGGATACAGAAACAAAAAATGAGACCTCTGCCCTCAAAGAGTTTACATTCTACTGGGTATAATTATGTTACTTGCTATATTTGAAGCCTTACATTTCAGAAGATACAAAGACAATATGACCCCAGAGTGTAGGGCAACAGGAGGCTTGTCCCAGGAAACTGAACTTAGAAAGAACTGATAGCATTTGCAGTCCTTCAGTGCCTAGTAAGCAAAATAATTAAAACAGAAAACTGTGAGATAGTGAACTGCAATAAACTCTTCCCATGGTCTACTCTACAGTGCTCCCCCTCCAAATCCCATGTGGTGGCCATCCCACAAAGCATCTCGTGCTAGTGACCTGGGGTCTCTGTCTCTTCCCAACAGAGAGATATCTTCTACTCATTTCCCCTCAGTCGGCTGAGGGCATGTTTTGTGCCACTTATTCCAGGCACAAAAATTCCTAGTTACAGCTCTAAGAAGACCCAGTCTCTGTACCCTTTGAGTTCCCAATCTAGTGAGTAGGTACAAACATAACTAATGATAATAGCTGACATTTATATAGAGCTTAAATGTATGCAAATTATTTTATATACATTATCTTTTTTGAACCTCATAACAATCTTGGGAGGTAAGTATTCTGGGAATGATCCCCATTTTACAGATGAAGAAGGTCACACAACTAGTATTAGGGACAGGATTTTAATCTAACTGCACATACAACACTTTACCCTGAGGCCATAGTACTTATATGATGCTATAGCTAGTACAGGGCATTGAGTGATAGGGACTAAAAGATAGAGACAGATGCATGCACACAAGGCTTTGGGGAATGAGGAGAGAGAGAGAGAACAAGAACCCTTCTGAATATAAGCATCAGATAAAGGTTCCTGGAAGAGGTGTCACCAGAAGTGGACTTGGAAGAATAGGAAAGGTTTGGAGAATAGGGAAGAAGGCACATGAAGAAGAAGGAAGCCCAAATAAACCTAGTGTATTGTGAAAGACAACAGTGAGATTGAAGAAAGATTTGGGCCACTTGCCCCTGAAGGGACATTTCCTTATTGGGAAGAGAGAGAGACCCTGAGACAATGGCATGAGGTGAGAGATTGATGCAAATATAGTTAGAGGAGTTTGAAGTCACATTGTGGAGGGCCTTGAAGGCCAGGCTAAGAGTGTTGGAGTTTATCCTGTGGGCTATGGGGAGTATCTATGGGCCACATATTTTTAATATTCCCAAATCCCAGAGTCCATTGCTGAGTGTGTTTGGGTGTATCTGAGGGGGCACAGGTTGTAGCCAGTTATTAAACTCGGTGGAAGACCCATGAATATATGGTTCCAGCTTTGGCTTCAGCCTCTGGTCATCCTACACTGGGTTGGACAGTCAGTTCTGATGGATGGAGAGGGGAAAAAATGACAGTATACCCTACTCAGGCCTCAGAACCCCATCTAACGATAAATGGGCCCATTGGATTAGTATCCTCTTCATTGTCTCTCTGGCTCTAACTCCGACTATATGTGACTATGCATCAGTTTTTGCATCCATTGGCCTCTCCCTGGGTTCTCTTGCTCTTCCTTTACAGAAGCTATCCCCCATTCTTGGAATGCACTCCCTTGTTAGCTCCATCTTTTTGAATCCTTCATTTATTCAAGGTGCGGCTTAGGTGTCATTTCCTAAATGATTCCTTTCCTGATCGTTTCAGAAGCTAGTGTTCTGTCCCTCCTTAAATCACTGTGTATTGTTGTAACTGTTTATATGGTGTATCCCTCAGTACACTATCAGCTCTTGGAGGGAAGGAACTATTCCATTTGTGTCTTTCTATCCCCAGCAACAAGCACAGTGCCTTGCATATGGTAGGTGCTTAATAAATGCTTGTTTAATTGAATTGGGCCTTAACTACATATCTTCTCCAGCATCAAGGGCAAGGGTTTACATTCAGTAGACAACAGGTAAGGGTTTGTTGAGTTAAATTGACTTCTGTCTTTTTCTAGGTCTCTGTATTTCTGATTCTCTGTTCATCTTTATTTCTCTCTAGCACCCTGTCTGCTATGCTTGCACACCAGTATTTTGTTCACTTGTGTGTATCTGGGGGTTAAGGGAAAGTCTCACCATTCCCATGTCCCTTTCTTTAACCTCTCAGCCCTGTTCCCCCACCTTTTTGGGAGCCTGAGTTAAAGGGATGAGCTCTATTTCAGTCTTCTTTCAATCCCCCAGGAGGATTGAGTTGACTCTCCCTTAATGGCTACATGACTTTCAGACAAGTCACTTCTCTGATCTTCAGTTTCTTCCTCTTTAAATTGGTAACAATCACCGTTAGGCTGCCTCCCTCACGGAGCTGTGGTATGGTAGGCCCTGCTCTGTTCTGCAGTGGGTAGATTGTGCCTGCCCTTGGTGGCACAGGTGACTTCCTTGGGTGAGCCAGAAGTGTTGGGGGTGGGGATTAGGAAGATAGCATTAGAACTCTGGATGGGAGGAGCCTAGGAGCTACCCATAAAGGCAGTCAGAAAAATGAATTTCAGGACCATGGAGAGAAGAAGCCCACTGGCTTTCTCCTGGGGGGCATATAGAAAATAGAAATGGCTTGTTCTATTTTGTCCCCAGCATTTCCCTAATAATATTCTTGTATAGCTGCTATGAGAGATATAGGAGGAAGAGACTTGCCCCCAGGAACTTCCTAGTCTATCTATCTACACTCAAATTCAACAACAGAAAGGGTCATGTTTTTTGGAAGACTTGTTACAAGACCAAGAGTTTCTCCTCTATCCCTCTTATCAGAGCGATTTCTTAGGGAGACAGTGCACCTTAGGGAAGTGGATAGCTCCCTGAGGGCTCAAAGGCGCAATGCTTGGACTCCACTTGTGGCTCTGCCCCTGGCTTTTCTCTTCCCCAGACCTTAATTTCCTCCACTGTAAAATAGACAGGTTGACTGCTACGTCCCCTTATCCCTGAGTCTCTTAGAGAGTTACCACCCTGTAAGGTTCAGGCATTTAGCAGGAGGAGCTGAGAAACAAGACATATAGTGGTTTGGAGATGGTTTGGGGTGTGAAGTGGGTCTAGGGGACACAAAAGAAGTGCCATACAAGGCAGCCTGAGGACTTTGGACCAGGGAGAAGAGTTTCAGGGCCCAAGGCTGGGTTCAGGGCAGGGGCAAGAGGATGAGATATGAGTCAGAGACTACACTTAGGTCTGATGTTGGAAGCTTGTGGAGAGAAAATTGGGGGGAGAAGGGAGAAGACTTTGAGGACTGGGGCAGAAACCTCTCCCTCCCCACTTTCGAACTTTGACTCTGTCCCCAGGTACGCATCTATGACCCCTACGATGACTATTACCAAATGGTGCCACCCAATGCCCACGATGCCACCTACATCCGCACTGGCTACTATGGGCCCCAGTATGGAGGTATGGACCCTTCCCTGGACCCTGAGCCCCAGGAGAGAAGGGAGTTTTCTGAGGGCTTGGGATGTGGAGACTTAATGAAGAATGGGCCCCATTAGTTGGTTGCCAGGGGTAGAGGGTAGGTTGGAAAGGGGAAAGTCTTTGCAAAAGTCCAAAGTTGAATTAACTACCTTTGGAGGTAGTAAGATCATTATTAGTTGATGTATGCAACCCTCCAGAGATTTTGGGTTGAGTTAACTTTCCTTCCAGCTCTGAGATTCTGGGATTTTATGAGCCCCAATCTCTACCTCAAGACCTGGTCCCAACTCTATCCTTAGCCCTCTCTTCCTCCTTCCCAGTCTCTGTTACTCTTCCTCAGGGTGTTGGCTCCAAGCAGGCCTTTTTCCTTCTGAGGCCCCTGACCCTCCTGATTTCCCCTTATCCCATAATATTCCCTCAGGAAATGGACCCAGCTAGTCTTTCCTTTTGTGCTCCAGGAGATAGTTCTGCTTTCAGCTATCTTCTCCCAGTTTGAGGGAGAGACAGAGAATGAGGCCCCATTTTTATGCTCTTTGAAAGGTACAGACAGTGCATTCAAAGGAGCTGGGTATGTGTGGCCAGGGAGAGCTTCCCAGAAGAATCAGATTTAGAATGGGTTTTGAAGACCGTGTGCGCCATCTCCTCCCCTCAGCTCCTTCCTAAATTTACAGTTTCCTTTCTTTCCCCTTTACTCTCTTCCGCACAGCTCCAGGAGTGACCCACGTCATCCTGCGTGACTCACCATACTACGGCAGAGATACCGGGGGTGAGCTCGCTATGGGCATGTTGGCTGGGGCTGCCACAGGTGCAGCCCTGGGCTCCCTCATGTGGATGCCCTGCTGGTTCTGAGGCCTCACACCCGGGAGTGCCTGAAGATTCTCCCACCATTGGACGGAGACCCTGACCCTGACCCTGGCCCTGGCCCTGGCCCTCAGTAGATGCCTATATGTCCATGGCATAAAATTCTCCTTGATGGTACTGTCCTGACCTCCCCAGAATCCCAAGGACTGGGTTTTGTTCCCTCAGCCTTTGCTGTGGTCAAGCTCTGGCTATTTACAGTCTCTCTAACGCCTGTGCCCTTCTGTGCTCCAACTACCAAAATAGATATAGGATGTCTTGGCTCTCACCATATCCCACAGTGACACCCCCACCTCCAGCTGTGGCTGTAAGTCTGAGTGGTTCCTTCACGCATCCCCATTACACACACATACCTTCCTACCCAGGGAATTAAACCAGAAACTTCTTTCTCACCTGCACATCAAACACAACTACATTCTTGGTTTTTTGTTTGTTTGTTTTTTTTGTTGTTTAGGCAATTGGGGTTAAGTGACTTGCCCATGGTCACACAGCTAGTATAAGTGTCAAGTGTTTGGTCTGTGGCCGGATTTGAACTCAGGTCCTCCTGACTTCAGGGCCGGTGCTCTATCCACTGCATCACCTAGCTGCCCCCTAACACAATTACATTCTTACAGATACTCCTAGCACACATACCCACCACACACAGAAACACATAAGTCCTCCTCTCCCTTCCCCTAAAAACACACTGGTACACACACAGTTCAGTAGAGAAAGAGAGAGGACCATAGATACATCCTCATCCCAACACCCTTTTCTAGCCTCCTTCCCATACTTACACTCACTCCTCCACCCCTGCCAGCCAGGCCAAAGTCTGGTTCTGACAGCCCACATAGTAGGCAGAGGAGAGAGGAGCTCTCTCCCTGGGGGCATTCCTCCTTAAGGGGTGGCCCTGGTGGACTGGGACTAGTTCCAAATGTTTGAACAGCCAGGTGCAGAAGGCTGGGTTTTATTTGCCCAGGCAAGGAAGCTGGAAAGTAACAAGAATTGCTGGCATGTCACGTGGGAGCTTACATACAGGGAACCAGGGCTGCATCTAGGGAGCTCTCCCCCTTCCCCAGGATGTGAGGAGGTGAAATGTGCCTTGGGCTCCTTTGGAACCTGAGGTACTTACCTCTTAGCCATCAGGGCTCTAGTAACCAGAATGACTTTGTGTAGCCCTGGGTGTCCAGGGGCCAGGAAAGATCTGCTTGCATCTTCTCATCCTGCCACAGTCTCTAGAAATGTTTATTCATAGATAAGCTAAAGGAATTTGGGGTGCGTATTCTAAAGAGCAGAGTCCTGCCAGCACATACTTTGATAGCTATCCTATGGAGGAGGGGTGAGTCAGCAAGTATATATTAAGCATCTACTATGTGCCGGGCACTGTGCTAAGTGCTTGGGTTAGACGTCTTGGCAGGACCAATGGGCGGAAGCCATAAAGCCAGATCAAGAGAAGGAAGAAATTGCTAGCGGGTCTATCCCACAATAGAAAGGGCTAATTGAGAGGGAGTGAATTCCCTGTCCATGGAGGTGTTCCAGCTGAATGACCCCTGAACTGGGAGACTGAAAGAGATTCCTGGCCTAGAAGGGAGGTTGGAGTAAACACACTCTCTGAAGGCCCTTCCAGCTTAACAAGAGCTGTGAATGAAAATGCTTCTGTGAAAATGCCTTACCTGTGTTGAGTTGGGAAGAATGTAAACTTAGGAGGGCCTGCCTTTCAGGAGCCTACAAAAGCGGTCTTCTCTGTCTTTGGGAGGACCGTAGACCTATGGTTATCACCCTCACCGCACTACAAAAACAGAACCAAGGGAGAAAGCTGGAAACGGTGACACTAGGCATTTCACTCTCGTTTTTCCCCTAGTACACACAAGTTGGTCTGAGGCTGGGAGTACTGTGTCTGAGCAGGGTCTCCAAGGCCAGGCCAGAGCACCAGCCTAAGCCGCTCCCATTGGTGTTACCACCTCCCCACCTCCCACTGTGGCAGTGTAGGCCCAGCACAAAAATTGTGATGGGGAGAAAACCCAGCCAGTCTTTAAAGGAAACAGAGAGGACTGAATGCAAGAAGGCCTCCATCCCACCTCTCCCCCCAAATCTGATCCTTTCCTTCCTCCCGTCTGCCTGTCCTTTGTACCTACAATCCCACCAGGATAGTTGTTTTGGTCTGAATTAATCACTGTCCTCACTAGACTCCTCTTTAAATACAAACAGCTCCCAAGATGAATCTCGTTCATGCTCTAAGGTCTCAGTGGGGAAAGTCAGGTTTAGAGAGTAAGAGGATGCCTATGGTCCTTGGACTTCAGGGGGAGGAAGGGCATAGAAAGAGGAAACGGGGCACTGGATACAAATCTCACTGACTTCACAGTTTGAGCAATGGAAGAAGGTCATGCCAAAAGCCCTGGCTTGGGAGATGGGAGGCCTTCAGCTCTAGTCCCAGATTTGTCCTTTACTTCCTTTTTGACCATGAGCAAGTTACGCCTCCTCCCTTGGCCTTAGTTTCCCTATCTGTAAAACTAGATGGTTGAGCTGGAAGGTCTTTAGGGGCTTCAGAGTTCTATGAGGCCATGCCGTGTCTTTCCTCCAGTTCTGGTCATTCTCCCCTCCCCCTATCTGGGGATCCACGTAGCCATTCTGGAACATCTTGGGTTTGCACTCAGTGGTGGTGGCAACTGTATAGGCTCTAATGTTCTGTCCTGTGTAGACAGGAGCCCAGAGGCTCCAGAACTCCACTAATAAAAACAGCTGTCATACTGCTCCGTTGTGTGCTGAGCTTATTTGTGAGAGGACCCTTACTTTGGGCCTGCCTTCCCAAGAAAGAACTCCAATTTTCCCTTGATGTTGCAGCCCACAACTTTCATGGCACAACTGATTCAGGAATGGGCCGCCCTGGCACATCCGCACCAATCAGGCTCTGAAGGGCTGTGGGAGCTCATGGGAGAGGAAGCAAGGGTCCGGTTTTAGTGATGTCACTAGCTCATTGGACGAGTCAGTTCTGTTCTCTGGATCTCAGTTGGACTAGATCAGGAATTTTTAAACTTTAGTGAGACTTGGACACTTGCGGTAGTCTTGTAAAGACTATGATTCCCTTCTCAGAACAAGATCTTAAAATGCATAAAATTAGGTTTGCAAAAGAAACAAGTTATGTTGAAAGATGGCTATCAAAACATTGAAAATTCCCTGTTAAGAGGAAACCTGTCCACAGATCCCTTGGGGATCCATGTTCTCTAGTTTAAGAACCCCTGGGCTACATTATATCTGTTTCCTCCCAAAAACTATGTATGTTTTATGTCCTCTGTAGTTCTTCCCAGCCATAATAATAATAACTCACACTTTTCCGTTTTTTAAAAAAATACTTAACAATCTTTTTAAATTTTGATTTAAAATCAAAAGATTCTCTCCTCCCACTCACTAAGGCAAACAATATGACATCAATTGTACATGTGAAATCATGCAAAACTGCAAAAAAAAAAAAAAAAGGGGACAGGGGAATCACACTTCAGTTTGCACTTGGAAGTTCATCATTTCTCTGAGGTGGATGGCATCTTTTCATCATGAGTCCTTTCGAATTGTCCTGGATCATTGCACTGATCAGAATAGCCAAGGTGATCGTCATGACAACATTGCTGTTACTACGCACAATGATCTCCCAGTTCTGACTTGCTTTGCATCAGTTCATATAGGTCTAGCTCACATTTTTAATAGTGTGCCTTGGTTTTCTTCTCTGTAAAAAGAGGAGGGGTTGGACTAGATGTTCCCTAAGGCCCCTTCTTTCTCCTATGACCTGGTTCGTGGGTGTTGATTTCTCAGCAGCCTCACCTGGTGTTATTCCAGGAACAGCCCGCAGGTGGCAGTGTGTCCACAGCATATTCCCCTGCTAGGAACTTATGTGGGCTGGGCATTGCTGCAACAGCAGACCAGCCTCCCTTAGCATCAGCAGATTGGTCCTGCTGCCCTGCCCCATGCCCAGGGAGGTAGTGAGCCGGTGCCCACAGGAAGCCAAGGCTGATCTCAGAGCTCCCCATCTGTTCAGGACCTGTGTTGGGGTCTGGACTCTGGCCATAATCTCTGGTCTCCTTAGCAGCCCCTGTGTGTATGTTTCATCCTTTTAAAACCTGGGTCAATTGCAGTCAGAGAATCTTAGAATCCCAAACCAAAGACAAGCTCAAGGTCAAGTCTGACCTGTATATAGAGAATGGATTTCCTGTAGGGCTTTCCTCCCAAGTGGCCATCCAGACTCTTACAGAACTTCTATCCCCTACTCCCCAGGGATAGGGAACTCACTACCATTCCAAACAACTGTTCCATTATGAAATAATTCTGATTATTTACAGGCTCTTTCTTATATTAAGCTGAAAATTTGTCTGCTTTCATCTTCCTCCCATGGCTCCTAGATCTGTCCCTTGGGGCCACACTGAATAAGTGCAATCCATCTTCCACATGACAGCCCTTCAGATACTTGAAGACAGCTCTCACATGCCCTGTTAGATCTTCTCTTGTCCATATTACCACACCCTCAGTTTTTTCAGGCAATCTAAGATGTAGACTCCCTGGAAAAGGAATCAGGGCTTCTAGGAACACAACAGAAATCCATTCTCCGAGGGTGGGTTGTGTGTTTCCAGCACCAGGCTGCCCAGAATCACTCCCTGAGAAGTCTATGAACTCTTCTTGAAAGAGATCAGTATCAAGGTAGCCAGAGAAGCTTAGTTCCTTGCTGAATGTTTAAATCAGTGGCTTTGTGGATTGTTAACATAAGAGTGAAGATTCCATTGCATCTGGCCACAACGGCTGCACAAGGATAATTGTCTGTGTACCTGCCTGACCAGCCTGAGCTTTCAGACCCTGGACAATGACTTCCCAGTCATAGGATTATAGGACCTTAGAGATGCTTTAGTCCCTCATTTTATAGATGAGAAAACTGATGCCCATAAAGATTTGGTCATATTTCACAACATACAAGCAGTGGGTAGCAGAACCAAGGATTGGAACCAGGTCCTGAGGCCACTCTTTTCACCGTAGTACCATGCCTCCTCTTGGCTCTTCTGAGCCAAAGTTGAACAGCACCCTGGCTGCCACCCCTGTGGCATCTGCAGACCCAAGGAGGGCCTCAAGTACTTCTTCCCCTTTTCCCAAGGCAAATCAATGCTTTTTCCCCTATGCCTCTCACTTTTCTCCCTCACTTCTCATATCCAATCAATCACCACATTCATGTTGATCTGCCTCCATAGCATTTTCGGCATTCATTCCTTCTCTCTAGGTTTTCAGGACACCACACTCTACTGGTTCTTCTACCTGATTACTCCTCAGTCCTTTACTCCCTCAGGCTCAAAACCTAGGTGTTTGATACTTTGCTGGATCCTTATCCAGCTCATGCCCTCCAACCACAAGTATCCCCCAAGGCTCATACACACAAACCTCTTCATTTTACAGATGAGGA